CTAGGACTGAAGCACACGGTATACATGGAGTTAAAGTTGGGCTTGCTGGAGCCATCCAAGCACATACAGTACATAACAAAAGGCTACTGCTACAAAGGGAGGGTTCATTGTCTTTGAAACTTGTGACTTTGGATGCACAGACTAACAGTAATGGTTACTCCAATTTTGATAACTTGTTAAAAAGCAACAAGAAACCGCTGACTCCAAATAAAAATCCTGAAATACGAAGTAAGACTTACAAAGAGAATGAACCCTCCGGTAGATTAAAAAACTCAACAGGAAAAATTCACAATTGTTAAAGTCCATCGACGGTTTATAGTACAGGAATACTGCCGTGATGGCAATGCATCCCTTGAGATACACAGTGTAATAGTACTGAAATAAAAACTCAGTTGCAGGATATAGTATTGATGCACTTGTAATATAGAGTGGAAATGTTATAAGATTCGACCAGACATTCCTGAATTACTGGGCAAGCAAGCTGATATGTGGTATAATGTGAGTAATTAAATCAACTACTTGGGTGAAAAATAAAAAAAGCACAGCACAAAAATAACACTTTAGTAATATGATCTTTTCAAATACAAAACACATGAGAAATGATGTGTACATGGCAAATATTACGTCAGTATCAAGGCTAAATTTAATAAGAAATGTACCTACAAAACTGGATTAGAAATACTGCGTGAGATGGGTTTAAAAAAATATATAAGCTTTATGTACTTTAAGCCAGCCCAAAATACTAGTCTTAACTGAATTCTATCAGTGACACATAAACAAACACAATCATTTGCATAAAACATTTTGAGCAAACTTAATCTAATTAAATAACAGCAGGCTTGGAGTCAAAGGGAAGGGGCTTAATGGTGGCCTAGTTTTGTGCCAATGTGTAATCAATCATACAACATACAACATGTCATACAACATGTCATGCAAACAAAAGAATGAAAGAGATATGGTGCGCCCTTTTTTGACAAGGGAAAATGATCCAAGTCCACAAAAATGAAATTTTAATTTGACTGAGAGGGGCACTGACATCAGTGAACTATTGTACATTTCTATTTAAAAAGGCCCTGCCAGCGTTACAATAACAACACAGTTGACGATGACCGAGAATCACTGATTTGTATGTCACTTTTAAAGGATGCAAAACAAATTGACCTTAAGGAGTTTTAGTTCACAATAAGTAGTTGAGAAAAGGATATGAGGTTCAAAATCTATTAAAATATGTCAACAGGCCAACTGGCATTGTCTTATCAGCATGCTTGAAACAAAAAAACTACATGCAGAGGCCATTTACTTTCAGTTCATTTCTAAGATTGTCAAGGTTGTCTGAAGACTGCTGTCAAGGTTGTCTGAAGACTGCTGTCAAGGTTGTCTGAAGACTGCTGACTGATATTCTATTCACATATTGATAAAAATGTATTCAAGAAAATTTTATTTTAAAAAAATCCTAACAAAATTCCATCTCCAGACTAGCTCACTGAGACATAGTCCTCCTGGGTTTTCTTAATGTTCATAAGAGCCATGCAAAAACAAACACTGTACAGTAGTAGAAGATCAAACATTTCCCTAGAGGTTGCAAGCAGTTCACAAATACCACAACAGTCATCTAATGCAAAAAGTGAAGTCAAGAGATTGGTGGTGGTCATTCAAGCAGATCAGTGAGAGGAAATGAGGGCGCCAGTTTTCTACAACAGTTTAAACAGTCGAGAAAGAAATTAATCAAACAAAACAAAAGACCGATTTCTTGATGAATTCTAAAAAATTAAAACCTTCCAGTTGAGTGAAATTTTTCTTGCCTTTTAAACCAAATTTCTTTGCATCTGCAGTGTGAGGAATGGTGAATCTGGTAGCAATAAAGGAATCACAACACTATTATGAAATAAGGCAATCCTGGTATTACAGCTGGCCATTTCATTGACGTATCGGTTACAGTGATGGCGTCATCATGCAGGTAGCATCACATCATATTTCTTGTCTCTCAAGTCTGGTTTTTTGTTGGTTTTTTGCATCAATTTCTTGTTCGTATTCAGACTTCAATTCATCTACAAAAATAAAATCTGATGTTCAATAGGCTAAATGTATTTAGATTTGTATCCTTTTAATGTTACAACAATTTTAAATCACTGTTACATGGCACTACCTGTCAAAGCCAAGTGACACATCAACGTTTCAGGTCTTAATCACCAAAGCATTCTCAAAATAGTTTTATTTACTCACTAAACCGCAAGTGGCACACAACATTTCTTATAAACTAGGGTTAAAATCCCTGGGCTATCGACAAGAATGAAGACTTCATCCTTACTACACTTTGTGACGCAGAACAAACAAGTCTTTTATCTTTGGCAGAAGTAGAATGGAAATCAAACAATAACATTTAGCAGAAATATTACTCTTGTCAAATTGTGGCAACATATTTCACCCTGATAGCAAGAACAAGTATTGTTTTAAAAAGTCATACTAAAAAAAAAAAAGCAAATAGAGAAATTGTAAACTAAAGCTGATGTGACATCCAAGACTATTCATAGAAATGGACTCCACAAGGCAGCTAATGGCTGACATCATACCAAAACCAAAACAAAAAACAAGACACCCGCCAACAAGAATAATTTTAAAAAAATAATAAAAAAAGAACGACTCTAGTTCAAACATAAAACCTAGAATCACAAGTCATGAGCCAAACACCAAGGAAACAAGGCATTTTTGATTGCAGTGTAGGAAGACCAGAGAGTAATTATATATAAAAATAGGAGCTTGCATGGATACTGAATGGACATGAAAAGCTGTATTAGGTCAGACAACTTGACTAGCAAAAATTATTAATTATTGGTACAATATGGAGACAGGCAGAAAACAAACTTTGATTATTTCTTTACCATTGCAAAATATATATGATACTGTATATATAAGTATATACATATAAATATGGACTAAATTTTAAACACCAGAAAAAAGGGTTATATGGCGGGCAACCACCCTATTTATTAGTTACAACATATAGAAAAAGTCACACAACATAATCAAATCAACCCTTTATATATAAGATGTATAAGAAAGTGGGGTCAGTGAGTGCTTGCTGTAACAACACCGACGCCGGCAATTAGAAACGAAGGTCCAAATGCACACGTTTACACCGATATAATGGGAGGAAGAAACATAACTGGGAACACACATCGGGCTCTCTTTGCAGCAAGCACTCACTTGAGACAAACAATGACCATTAAAAACTATTTGCTGATGAATAATGCTTTCCTTATTGCATTTGGTAGTTGACTATGTGCAAACAAACACACAGAGCAGTCTCAATTGTCCTGATTTGAGCTTCAAGTAGATGTAAAATAAGCTGCCTACAAATGCTCTATACACGGAGAAGGGAAGAAATAAGATGTGCACCAGTGTTAGAGACATGAACATACAATAGGGGAGTGGGGAGACCAGGAAACTGAATTATGAGTTCTTTTATTTCTTCTCTGATCTAGCGGATCACAAAGTTGAATAAATCTGTTCAAATTTTCGATGTGTTAAAACAAAGCAGTCATTACATCAGGATGGAGCGTCAACAAAAGGTTCTCATAATGTGGGGTATGAACACAACTCTGTCATTATTATTTATTTCTGGTCTACTGTTTTTAATTAAAACCGCTTTCAAGGATGTCCTTTGGAAATGCACAACTTCTGTTTTTCAATACAAATAAGTGAACACATTGTGGAGGGAGATGCTCAGACTTCTAAAGCGTTTGGCAATGAGAGTGAACCGTTTCATGCCATTGCACGATGTGCCTTTTAGGCGATAGGAAGCGGATATTGGAAGGAATAATGGCACCGCTAAAAACAATATACTGAAATATGTCAATTTTCCATTGACGGAAAAAGGGCTGGGGGTGGTGCTGATTCATGTTTCAAAATTTGGAATAAAAATTATGTTCTTTTCAGCAGTGCCATATATCAAACAGATGGTGAAAAGAAAGTTGCTTAGTATTTTTAATGCAAATAAATGACATCTAATAAATCTGGAATACCAAGCTAGACCAACCCACATCGCTCACTTGATACAAGCCTGCTCATTTTGTTGACCTATAATCTTTGAAACACAACATGTGGAAGGAGGTGTGGGTCATAATAAGAAGTTCAAGGTCAGAGGCCGGGGACAAATAATCTTTACCAGATTGCTAATGCTGAAGTTTCATTCAACGGAACTTTCTAGTGTTGAAAGCAAAAATGAGCCATCAAGACTACAAACGTGGTTCATTGCTGCTTTCAAGCTAATTTTGTAGGACATCCAATGTATCAAGGGAGAACGATTGTGGAATGAAAATATTGAGTTATTTTTTTTAAAATGGTAATACTAAAGAAAAAACATGTTAAAGACGGCACAAAATGTGTGGGGAGAAAGGGGTGGGGGGGGGGGAAATACATCAACTTAGCACAAAAATAAAATAAAATGTCCAATGTGTCAATCTCTAATTAGCCAATATATGAGTACTGAGATATCTATTGATCTATGTATATATAATACAAGCCGTTCATAGCTATGGTTGCAGTGACTGGTACAACAATATCATTTCTATGTAAGATAAAAATTTTTAAAAACCAAACAACAAAATGATGATGGGGGAGGGGAGATAAATGGAATTCATGATTATCATTGCCAACAAAGGGGGTTAAGTCTGTGAATAAATTGTATTATTAAATAGATATTTTTATACTGATTATTTAAAACAAGTGCTAGTATACGCCACTTACACACAATCATAAAATACACATGGAGAGCCAATGAGCACAATGGAGCTAGGCGGCTATATTAGTCAAGGCTACAAATGGAGATTAGATTAAACCAAGTAGAACCAACCATGGATCCCTTCGTCAGATTCACAATGCAGATTATGCATGAAGCCGAGCAAATGAATTCAAGCGCCAGTAGTAAACACAATTAGGAATGGAGGTGTTTTTTTTTTTTTTAATGTCTTAGTTCATTGTCAATCCACTAAAGCTGAGCAATAACTGGATATAAAAATAGTTTACTGTTAAATGGTGCTTGAAGAATTGAGACATTTGGAAAGGTACCGGTACTAGAGATACACACAAAATTCTGCCAATAGTTGGTGATCATTAAAAAATTATCAAATGAACTGCCTTGAGCAGAATTTTACAGAAATGGGAATGGATCTTACAATAAATTGAATGCCCAGATTATTAATTGAATGCCCAGATTATTAAGATAGGCATGATGATAATCACATTGGCAGAAGCCTCTTGATAAATGACACTGTGTTGAATTTAGGCTGTTTAAAAAACCACAAATTAACCTTCCAAATGTTTCTATTGAAAATCTCAATTCTGTTGAAGGCCAAATAACTGTTATCAAATTACACTTTGCATTAAAGTGAAAACACTGTGGAGGTGGGAGAGAGAGGGTAAGGGAGGGAAGGGGGGGATGATCAAGGAATAATTTGTTCATGTAAACAATACCAAATAAAATAGTTTAACAAAAAAGATCATGGCCTATAATTGAGATGAAAGAAAAAAAAACGTATCACAGCTAAATACGGAAAAAAAAAAACCTCACCAAAAGCACTCTAGCTAACAGCAAGCAAATGGTAGACAAGACTTGAAATGTGCTCCTCTGGGAATTTAACCAGAGAACAAAATACAGGAGGGTACAGTGATCAATGTTATATAGAGTACGGCACACTAGATCTTCACAGGAGTAAAACTGCCGGTCGAACTCGCACACAACTGTACAAGGCAACTAGACAAATGAAATATCTTGCAAGTCATTATACATAGTTATAAATGTCTTGAATTGGTTTAACAAGGTGACGCTCAAATTGTGGAATAAATAAATATCATTAGTTGAAGCAAGCTTCTAATTTAAGGCATCTACTTGACAACAAGAACAAAAAAAATATTAGACGATATTCACTTTGTCTTAAAAGGAATTAAATCAATCATTGCAATTAATACAAAATGAAAGAAAATGTTTTACATTTCTAGAAGCAAAGGTGACAGCAGTCATGTGAAGTCTCTCTGCAAGTTGAAGGCAGAAAAACTTGACACAAGGCCATGCAAGGCTCATTTAAAAATTCCATGCTGTAAGGATTAAAGAAGAGAATAACAAAATGAAGATTTAATGATCCCTGACCAAAGTCATCACGTGTACAGAAGAGAAGAAACTAATGAGCTACTTTATTTGGACATACACCACCATCACCACATTTGTCTGCATGCAACATCTGCACAGACTTTGGTCTACACTTCAAAAATCTGGTTGAGTCTATTTCGTGAACGTTAGGAGTCATGATAAAAGTGCACAAGGACAAACGTGTACTGGGCGTTATTTATTTTTAAATACATTTTACACTAACTAGAGATTTGAAGTTATTTGCTTTTTACCTTCCCTGCTTCATGGGTCAAACACGGAGAGCATTTATGGTTTAGGAAAGGATTTACAACATTCTCAAACAGCTGCAATAGGGTGTGTGGCGAGTGTGTGCATTTCAAACTAATCAAAGTTAAAATAGCAGAGCCTAGCAGCATCTTATCAGCTGTCTCTACCCAAACAGCCATGTTAAAACATCTGACAATTTTGTTTCTTAATGAAGGTGACCTGAAAATGGCTCTAAAAATATATATATATTGCTATTTAAAAATAATATTCCATTCAGTTTGAAAGAAATGAAAAATTAAAACTTGTTAATTGTACCTCTGTTAAAAAACTCCTGTGAGATTGAGGATATTTAAGATTGTAAGAAACTTGATAAATATTAAAACATGATGTCCCAAACCAGTGGATAAAATCAAGAGCCCAAACAATATTGTATGACTTGAAACAAAAGAGACTATAAGATATATTGGAACACCAAGAATATTAAACACATTTAAGAAATGCTCATTAAATCACAAGTAAAAACATCACTAGGAAAGCCATTTTGTAAAATTTAAGAACTTAGTGAGTAAAACATTATCTAACAAAACTGCGAAAAGGCAGAGAAAATTTTTTTAAATATAAAAAGTCTTTTTTTTTCAAATCAAATTTCTAAAGGAATCATCTGGTTAAGTCAGATATATTGGAGGACCACAGTCTGTTTACAGACACACCCATGTTGTCATGGTTTGCACAATAACTTGAGCGGGGATTTCCTCATTTTACAGATGTTTCTCAAGACACCTTATATTAAATATTCATGTTACAAATTTGATGGAAACTGGAATAAAAGGTCTTGATCATTTTTGGTGTGTACTAACATTCATGTGACTGCCAACTTTTGTTGTAATCAAATCATTAGGTATTGTGTTGGTTACATACTACACACGTCTCTTTATTGTTTTTGTTCTTTGTGAGCCTCATGGCATTTGCACGTTTCTTTAAAAGTATGAAACTTATTAAAACTAAATAGCAGTCAGAATCCTGCTGCCATTTTAAAACTAAAATATATAGTAAGAATTATCAATTCGAAAAAATTACAACCTATGGTGATGTTACGAAACGCTTGTAAAAAAAAAAACAACATTGCATACAAGAGCTATTCTTAGGACCAAGACAACAAGGAGATCAAAGTTAGAATCATAGAAGTAGGCAAGTCCATCAGCACACTAGCAAACCAACTGGATCATATTAGTGAAGCACAGTGCTCAAATATTGATACATCAAGTACAAAATGAATCAGTGCCTGGAACCGACTCGGCAGATGCTGACAACAACTGTGGCTAACACGAGGCGAGCTTTTCCCTTCTAGACAAACAACACTTCAACTCTTGGGGGCTACTTCTACAAGTATTTTTCAATGGTTTGGACCAGTCCATTGAGCTGGAAATAGACTGCCTCATTCCTGAGTTCCTTGAGCACCTGGCGATCACGAGGTAAGCCATCTTGATTAACTCCCCCATCTCGTAGATAATTCAAGATGTACCTGTATAAACAAAGGTGTTTCAGAATGCCTAAAAATGTAAATCTGTAGAGGCAGGAAACATACATAAGACTAAAATAGTCAGTTAACTATAACTATAACTATAAAGTCGAGGGGAATATGCCATAATTTTTTTTGTTGAGTGAATTACAAAACTGTTTCATTTTTTTAAAAAGTATAACTGACTTTAGGATATTTTTTTAGCTTTGGTTAGAATCCATGGTGAGCCTATTTTTGCCACAGGTGGGAGGAACAAGTGTGGACATTTGAATGCCTGACAATCAGCATGCTTGACCCATGACTGACAAACCGTTGCCTAAGCTTTCCTTTATAATTTTTTTTTTTCTTACAGAGTTCAATTATTTCTTGAAAAGTATTTATATTAATTTAGCTTTCCCACACACTCGCAAATGTGTTACTCAAGGGTTTGTCCTAGTCTAGATGCAAGAACACATTAAAGAAATGAGGTGCTTTGATTTCCCCTTTGTGAATTATGCCGAGTTAATTACCCAAATTATGCCGAGTTAATTACCCAAATTATGCCTGTGGACATCAAAACAACGAAGTGTAGGACACAGACAATTTTTATCATATATTTCTTAAATGACTATTTTGGGTCAAATACACCATTTCTTTTCATAATACTTGTGTGCCGGCAGTGTGCTTTATGTAAACTATTTCCAACTTTTGTTTAAGAGGAAGAGTAGGGAAGTCAAAGATCTCTGAGAGATTTGCTAACAACTTTATTGATGATCCTGTTAACTGTAGAAAAGACCGGGCGCTAAAAGCCAGCCTGCTGAATTTGGCTACTGTTAATCTTTTCCTCAAATCTACTATTGTGAGGAATTTATAACAAAGTCAAACCTGAAATGTGTGCCGTCACGATCAATGAACACTGTGCCATCAGCTTCCTGTGTTACATGGTGTCTGCCGCTGAACATGGCCGCCAACATGGAGTCGGCATCCCGTGTCAGAGTCAAACGTGATGTAGTGAAGACACTGCCACCCACATCGAGGCGTATACGACCCTGGGGATCAAAGAACATTAACTTTTATTGGGCTATATACATTTTATTACCATTGAACATTGCTTGCATGAGGCAAACCAAATTTTACAAGAAACAAATTGCTTTTGTGTTATTAAGGTGAACGATGACAATGAAATATTTCCCACCACCGCTTTGCCAATGAAGACTTTTTAACATTAGGTTCAACAGTTTCTTCTACTTATTTTTAAAGCTTAATAACTACATTTTAACCTAATGGGCCTGACATTTTTTAATTCCATATCAGTTCAGCAACTTGCATAAAACTGACAACAGACTCTTAACCACTGGAACATGGTCAGGCTTTTGACAATTGTACCATTGGCATTTGTAGAGAAATGCCAATATACCAGATATGAACACAACTATTTAATTCATTTTTTAACAAATATTTACATTTCTTTCTTGTGGACAAAAACTCTCCTATATTGTTTTTTAAGAAAATTCCAATCCTACTCAGCTTTTAGCTCTCTTTATAGACCAATTATGAGATTGACACATTTCTATAGTTGAATGGCTTAACAAGAAAGCTGCTCCATAAGACAAGAACATGACAAAATGGATAACTATGATGGATAGAGCAGATATATGGTATGCCTTTTTGTCCCAGATTTTTAAAAAAGATTAAAAACCTTTTGCATTGTGTGCATTTCCTCCATTCGAGAAATTTCATCTTTCAACTCTTGCCACTTCCGAGCGATTTCCTCCCTTTCCTTTTTACAATCTCTAACCAATTTGCTGCGGTCCTCTTCTAGGCGTGTTTGTAACGCTGCTAGCTCTCTATCCCGCTGCTCAAGCTCTTTCTTTTGGGCCTCCAGTGACTCTTGCTGTTGCTGCAAAGATGCTTGTTCACTCTGGAGCTGTGGGAATCAGTCATTACAGAAGTTTCATCACAGAAGTAGTCATTACAGGTCATTATACAAAAACATGTCAAGCTCAACTAGATGTTCAGGATCACAAATGCTAGCTATCCCACTGATCACAAACAGATCCAATCCACTGTTTCTATCAACTTCTGTGGATAACCGCCCTGTCTTGGCAAGTACTGAACATTTTAATGATATATTATATTTTCATTTAGATCTAACTTTATTGGATTTCTAAATAACTTAGAAATTGATAGAACTAAAAAAAGCATGACTTATGTTCCACATCTGTGATCTTTGTTTAAACTTTGAAAGGGATGCTACTCAAAAGTGCCACAAATAGTAATCAGCGGATTTTGAAACTTTTCTTTAATCATTAAATCTTCAGCCTTTAGCAATGTTAAAAATCTGCTGTTCACGTAGCCCAAATCATCCAAAGTGCTAAGTTATTCATCCCCATACTCCAGAGAGTAGGAATAATAGTAAGTTAGTAGTTCCACTGTGTTTGTTCTGTTCTTACCTGGCTGTAAAGAGACAGGAACTTTTCTGCCCTTTCTAAACACACTTTGTGGACATCCTCCTGGGACAGTTTAACATCTGAGCTGACCGCCACCTTCGCCTCCTCCAGAAAAGCTTCTGAAAAATCAATCAAAATTGGCTCATGACAATGAACAGTTCAAAGTATGGAATGTTATAGGGATGAACGTAAGAAACATACTCGCAAAAGGTATTTGAAGAAGGCTCTGGTAGTGACCAATTATTTAATGATTAATATAATCTTTTTGACATTCAAAAAAAAAAAAAAAAAAAAAAAAAATCCATGTACCATTAAAAACAAAAAAAACAAAAAATTATAGGGATGAACGTAAGAAACATACTCGCAAAAGGTATTTGAAAAAGGCTCTGGTAGTGACCAATTATTTAATGATTAATATAATCTTTTTGACATTCAAAAAAAAAAAAAAAAAAAAATAGTTCCATGTACCGTTGAAATCAAACAATTGCAGAAATTAGTACCCAAACTAAATTTTACAAATCTAAGTGTCATTTTAGCCACACACAAAATTGATATTTTATCAACTCTATAGCAAACTAAATACTGGCACAAAGGTAAAGTGTGTTTCTCAACAAGCCACCGTGAAACCCTTTCAGAATGTACAAGTAACCCATGCTACTCTCCAATCACTGAAGATGATGTTTTTGATTTCAAGCAGTTTCTAAACACACACTTACTGAGCCTGGCCTGCAGGTCTTCATTGTGATAGTGATGCAACTCATTCCCTCCCCCATTGTTCTGATGTTGGTGTTGATTTAGGCGATTTTCATTATTTTGACCACCAGCATCACAGAGGTGCACACCAGACTCAGGAGAATTTTGCAGGTAGTCACCACATTTGAAGCACAAATACCGCACCTGGAACAATGTAAAAATGGTGATCTTAAAACCAAATTTTGCTTTTAAAAACTAAAAAGTTAGTGGTCAACACAATCCAGCAAATTTTTAATTAATCTGAACTAGAAGATATGTGTCATATTAGCACAGTCCGGTCAGTTTATTTTCCCATTGGTTTCCTGTAGTACTTTGTGCACACTTTGTGTTGAACTGTGAAAACTTAAAGATTTGGTCTGTTCCAGATTGAAAGTTTAACACTGGACTACCAAAACAAACTTGCTGCAGCTTATCATTGACACCGTCTTCATTCAAATAAAGGCTCCTTACCTCCTGGTCGTTGTTGTTGATGTTTTGCTGGCGGTGATTATTCCGTGCATTGATGGCCAGCATTCGGTTGTTTCGCGGTGCTCCTCCACCTGCACCATTTCTCCCCTGGTGGCGATTGTTATTGTGCCTAAAAGATACAACAGCCCTTGTCATTATGTTCAAAAATAATAATTATTATAATCAAGAAAAATCCATCACAAAGTATGTTTCATTATTGTTGAACAAAGCCAGGCTTACTGGATCATACACGTTATAATGTCCATTTACGCCACCACTTGTCACCTGACAAAAACAAATCTGGCTCTCCATTTACACCACCACTTGTTACATGACAAAAACAAATCTGGCTCTCCATTTACACCACCACTTGTCACATGACAAAATAAATCTGGCTCTCCATTTACACCATCACTTGTTACATGATGTAACGGACAATGTTTTCACATGAAAACAGAGAGGTAGCATGAGTGAACAGTGAATTGTTTTGACCATGTATTTTGAGAGGACAATGTGAGCTCCACGTTTTTGGAGAGTAAAATTATGTTTTTGTCAGAGCGGTTGTTTTCCACGCTTTGCTGGTAATAAAGTATGAGTTGACTGAGATAAGGAGAGCTGAGCGCAAGGAGAGTCAGAGTTAGTCGGAGTTGAGTTAGAGTTGAGATGTAGTACAGTTGAGCTGAGTTATAGCAGTGTGAGGACGTGTCTTTCTGAGTGATGGAATATTATATATATATATATGTGAAATGATTACATTCATGCAGGATTATTATTAATATTATCTGTGTAAACTGTGATTTAATAAAGTACTGTCAGTTTAACCAGGATTCAGTATTCTTATTTATGTGCCTGGATAATACGAGGAAGAACGATGAAGTCTTAGCCGGCATTCTGAATTACTAACTTAAAACAAGTAACCGTGCTACTGACATAACCCACAGCATAAGAAATAAGATCCCACGCCATGTCAGAGTAGTTGTGTTACACATGACAAAAACAAATCTGGCTCACCATTTACACCACCACTTGTTACAGGAGAAAAAAAAATCTGGGTGTGAATTACCTGTTGTAGTTATTGAAGTTTCCTTGATTACCCCATGGTATGATGCCGAATCCGTCAAATTGCTGCTGGTTCTGACCCTGACCCGGGCCCCCAACAAACGGGCCTCTCACCCACTGCGGGGAGGGCCCCTGTATTTGAGGGTTAGGAAAGTTGCCCATCTGCGGAGGTGGAGGTGGGACACGGCGATCGTAAAATAGGGGACCACCTTGTGACCAGTGAGGACGACCGTGATCATAGAGAAATACTTGGCGTGCACCTTGGTTTGGCATATTCATAATGCCTGGATCAGGAAACAAAAAAATGTATCAGGGTCACAAGTTCAAATAGAACTTTATAAAAAGAAAACAAAAGAAAAAAAAAGAATGATTCTTACCCCTTTTTAAAAAATGATTTATCGATTTATAGTTGTACATTTAATAATATAGGCAAAGTAGAATAAACCAGCAATAAAATAAAGCAAATTACTTTTCAAAACTTAATAATAAACATGCAGCAGGACTTTCTAAAAAATGTTACCGCTTGTGTCCGCACGCCACATGTTAACTGCAATAAGATTGTCTACCTTGGCATGATACTTAATCAGATCACATGAGACAGTAAAAAATTTGAATGCAGAGCCCAAGTACATAACTTTCAAAAACATGAAATTAAATTATGTAAAACCCCATTCTCACATTGACAAATACTCAAGATGTTAAAACCCTAAGACCTTTTATTTGCTGTTATCAAACTTCTGTGGTACTGAGCTCTCTGCCAACTTCTGTGGTACTGAGCTCTCTGCCAACTTCTGTAGTACTGAGGTTTTTCTACTCCAGCCCCAGGTCCTCCCCAACAACTTAATCCGCCTTACTTTGCCGAGTCCGACCCCTGAAGATGGTGCGTGACGAATGCTGAACAATCAACTTTCGGAGCAAAGGCCATGAAACACCCACATTCTGCTATGTAACACAAACATTCTGCCATGTAACACTCGGACATTCTGCCGCCAACACTCACAAAAATATATTAGTTTGATTCAAACTCTTTCAACTGCTAATGAAACAAGTACCAAGCTGATGAACGTCTTGTGCATGTAAATTGTTCTAATAATGAATAATCGTTCCCCATATACATTATCCAATATTCATAACAAATCTCTTTAAAAAAACTCTCATTGTGTTTAATGTTAAAGCTTTGAAGCTTCAATGCCACCCACCAGAATAACTAATTTTTTATTTTTGCAATAGTAATAAGCTTCTCTTCAACTCCAAATAATTTCTTCACATTTTCAAGTAAGATTAACATGATTTATAACTACTGGTATTGCAAAGTTTTCCAATATTCGTACCAAAAACCTGAGCAGCAATAAAATAACGTCAAACAGTTGAAGAATTTTTAGATTGTTAACAAAATAAGAAATATGCTCCAACAAAAAACCTGTGAACTCAATACTAGGGTTGCACCAACATCAACCTTTTCTGACACATAAGTCGGGGAATCGGCTTTGAAAGATAAATAGCGCTACCCAGATGTTAGATATAAATCTAGATAGCTTTAAAGCAGTCCCTCATATATAATGCTTTCAAGTACATGAGAATGGGGCGAAGAACTGGAGTGAAACAAATAAATAGTGGAACAAGATACAATTAGGCTTTTCAGTTTCAACACAGAGACTAACAGAGCTATATTGAGATCTGGATACAAAGTTTTTTAATTTCAAATAATTTGTTATTTCTTATTTTCTATTGTCTGCTGATGAGAGCATTAATTTAGTCAAAAGTTAGTTTACTTGTCCTGTCCTTTTTTGTCCCAAACCTAAACATATCTTGTTCCACCATTTAGTATCTATTGATGTTCATGCAATGTCGTTGGTTTTCTTTCTGAGTTGCACTTGAGTAAAAAGAATTTTAGAGGAAGTAATCATTAATCCAAAAAGCACAAAATTCATTATTCTGCATAGAGACAGCCTTGGCCAGTTCAAAAGACCAAATCAATAGAGCATAAGCCCACTGGGAGCACCCCTGTGTAAACATCACTCACTGGGGTGAGAACAGGGCAAACTTTAAATGATTTGATTCATTATTGAACATTCAACATTTTTGTTTTCATCATTACCGGTACCAAATTTGATAAGGATGTGCATATACTCTCCATGTTGAAGAATGCTTTTAGCTCTTTTTGTTTCAAGAGATCACATTAGCCTACACAATTCTCGTAAATGTGTTTATTTCAATGTGGTGGTAAATTAAATAAAGTAGAGTGATTGGAGCTTGTGTGAGATCTAATGATCAGCTATGAATGGCACCAGTAAAAAAAATTGTCAATTCCTTACAAGAGCATTTAAATATTTTTTTCTCAATCAGTTTTCTTGTTTTCACCATTGCCCCTCCCGCTTTCCACCTTATTTTGATGCATGTCTGATTTTGGGCTTACAATTTAAACTGTTATTTTTTTATACAGATTACCTCCTAAATGCATGATTAATTTAACTTAAAGATTTCATCATCAGACCTGGTTACAGTGAAACTCACATAATAGTACAACAGGCATGTATACCCCCAAACTTCTAAATTCGTACAATATCGTCTCAAAATCGTACACTATACTTTCTTAAAAGTAAACAAAAATAAACATATATTATATATAATGAATACAATGACTACTCGCATCACGTCTAGTGGGTTAGAGAGGAACTAATGTTAAAAAGGTAACTATCAAAAGTAGATGATTGACGTTCATATTGCAATCTGCGGTCCCTTTGTTTTGTAGATGTGCATCTGCTATAGATATCAATTATATTTAGGTGAATGTGCAGACCACATTATTACACTTGTAAAAATAAAGTGATCTTTAATGTGGTTCAAACTGGAACTCAGATCAGCAAAATATAAAATTCACTACAATAAGAACTGATTAAATTAGGGGATCATTTAAAAAAAACAACTTTCCAAGTAAGTTAAGATTTATTTTTAAGGAAAAGCTGATCAAACAAACAGAAAAAAACAACAACCAAGAATCAATATCCAATATGTTTATTTAACATTAACATATTACAGATAACTACCACAAGCTGTAAATGGGTGAAAGGAAGAGGGAGGTTAAAAATATATATCAAAAGCCCTCTCAGATCCTATAACATGTCAAAATCTAATGTTGTTGAGTGGAACAGTTGAGAATGCATTCTCTAGTTTTATCTGTTTCTGCCATCGCTGCTGTTCATATGTAAGAAATAATTATGTCACAAAATTACCCCATACAGCACAGAAGCAAATAAACATGGTGAGGTGCCAGCTATATAGTGTGTATACAAAAAATTCAAATTTTAAAACATCCCCCTCCTTCCCCCTTTTATGAGACCTCTGTGGACATAGAATGAGCTTTCAACACCCCCCCCCCCCCCCCCACCCACCCAAAAAGAAAAAAAACAACTACCCAGCAAACTCCAATAATTTTTATATTTTTATGATGTTACAGTGAACAAAAAGGTTTCATGGGTTTTCATGGATCGCTTTTCGGCGAGCCCAGTGGTTCCCAGAATATATGATGCATCGTCCTTGGTGCTTGTTGCCCTCGGGCAGAGCCCAAATCAGGGGGGCCAAAGTCCTATTTAGAAAGGACATTAATGGTGAATTAAACTATAAAATCTCATTTACTTCACAAAGACAAGGGGCACTTTTTTAACTTCAAAACGTAGGGATGAAATTAAGCGCATACCTGAAAATAATTTTGCATCATTCTTCACTTAATCGTAATGCTTGTGGGAAAATGAGGTTCCCCAGAGGTGCTGGGTGGCCGAGCAGTCTAAAATTAGTCAATCCCAAGTAAACCGGATGTTATGTAGGAAACTTTTCCCAGTGCGTGAACTTTGCTTGACCCAAATTAGATTCCTAGCACACGCTACGTACATAGATGGGCGTGGCTTATCTCTTTGATGCATCGTGTTTACTACCGACTTCCAATTAAACATGGTTAGTAAGTCTACTAGTATCTTTTGGAACGTTCTCGATTGTATTAGAAAAGTAAGGGCGTTTCTAGACGTATCGGTTAGACCCACATATATAAGGGACTGACAGGCACAGAGAGAGAGAGAGACGGAGATTCAGATTAGATATTATTAACTTTACGAGACAATTGTATTATTCTTTGTGTGCTCATATGTGTTTATTTCGTATTCATCATTATTAATTGGCACTTTGTACTAATAACTGTGTACCGATACAAGATTTTCACTTACTCTGTAAGTTGATGATTTGTAATTATATTTCTTTTGTAATTGTATTATTACTAAATTAAATATTATTAATTGTAATTGGTACTGTTATGGATGTCGTATCAGTTTTATTGCATTTATCTAAGATATCGTCCTTTGTTAGGCACTGTTTGAACGAGCCATAACTGAAAACAAGAGATCAATTTCTCACAATAGAAGGCAGTGCGTAACACTGGAGTTCAATCCCAATCAAAGGGCAAAGACAAACAAAAACACCAAAACACCCAGAGGGAATGGGACTCCTTAACCTTGAATATCCAAGAGAAGGAAAACACTGAATTGAAACCCGGAATGGAGTCTTGTATGTGGTATGACATTGACATTATGAAAATTTTAGCAACTCCTGCCTCCATGGAACGCACAAAGAGCAAAGCGAAACCCAAAATAAAAAACACTGCTGGTACTGCATCCTGATCTATTTTTAGTCGTTTTGACAAAGTCTTGCCATTGAAGCAAATAGGCAGGACTAGAGGGTGATGCTAACGAAATGAGCAACTCTCCCTGAATTTAAACAAAATACAGCCCAAATCATATCTACTACTCAATTCAAAGCCTTAGTCATCTTCACATGTGCTGATAAACAATACTTAATACTAGATTCCCCTTACTCAGATTTATATAAATCCCTTTTACTTTAGTCATTACCAAAAAATGGTAAATTGTTTTGTAATTTATTACTTATTTCAATCAGTCAAAAAAAGGGGTGTGTACGTCTCCAAAAAATGATGTATATACAATTCAAATGTGCCTTTATGCTAAAAATTAAAATAATCGCTAATTGAAGAAAGAAATAAGTTCATTTGTGATACATCAGGCAGGTCACAATATTGAACTTGGCCGGCCCCCCCCGATGGGTTGCCCACCCCTCCTTTCATAACCAAAACAAGCTGTATTGGGAGAAGGGGAGTGCTGGTTTATTAAAATTGGACAGTTGCTTAGTGACTTCTAATTCATAGATTTTAAAGGCTGCTTAATAATAGATCTTATAAAGTATGTCAAAAATCTATGGCTGCAGTTGATAATTCATTTTTTTTAAATCCATAGTTTTCTTCTCCCTTTTTGAATTAGCCCCGTTCAGCTAAAGAACGAGATAAGTATCTCCCAAAATTATGTCATCCACATCCAAGCAAACAAAGGCCAATGTTCACTAGTGCCAGTACGCTAAATCTAATTGCTGCATCTAGGAGTTCATTGTGAAAACACAAAGCAACAATGTTGATCATTACAAAGCATGGTGGTGCTATTTTATAGCATTCAAAAATATTTAGACACCTCCCCCTACCCCTCCCATGTACACTTGCGTCAAAATCCCCACCCTTCCCCTCTCAGTGCATAAGTAATATAATTATTATGGATAGTCGCCACTCAATCATATTTCTCTATCCAGGAGCTAAAACCCCCTCTCAGTGCATAAGTAATATAATTATTATGGATAGTCGCCACCCAATCATATTTCTCTATCCAGGAGCTAAAACTAACAACTGAAAACTTGGTTTTTGTTGTGTTTTTTAATTTTTAAATCACCGGAATATATTCTTTAAACATTTTTACCCCATTTCCTAAACTATAGTTTTGACAGGTCTTTGTGTACAATCATAAAATATATATCAAAATCATACATTGTACGCCAAAATCTTAAGAGTTAATAGGTCTGCATCATGCTCTATTGGTTACTTTAAAAATAAAAATTGCATTAAAAAATTTTTTTTACCACATTAAGTGTAGACAATTTATTTATATGAAAACAAATGTATACAGTGAAGACACTTTTATTCTTGAAATATATCTAGTTAATGTAAGGTCTGTACATCACAAATGTAAAACAATGCCCATTCAATGCACAGATGTTGTTCTCCTAAGGCATCATCACCAGTATCCAAATAAATTAATGTTATTCCTAAACTTTGTCTTATGAGTTTTCCATTTCATTTTATGACAATGGGCCCTTTTTCATAATTTAAACTTTTGTATTATTGTTACATATACAGTAATATTACATATCTGTCAGTTGTGCTTCAAGATAGTGTAAGGTTTTAATAAATAAAAATGTTCAAAGAGGTGAATGTTCTAATATTAATAAGTGGCAAAACCATCAAACTACTGGCCAACCTCCTGTCAAAGCCACTCAGCTAGTCTTATGTGCAAAAGATCCAAAAACTGTCTGTGCGTTTTAAGTCATTTTTGTACGATGTTCATACAGAAGAAGTTGACAAATATATATTTATTAATTACCAAACAAACTAAAGTTAAATATTTTAAAGGCTTCATTAATTTAATAGAAAGTTAAAAAATGAGATCTGTCAAAAGGTCTGAGTGCATTGAAATCAAAGTCAAAGAACTGGATAATGAAACTCTTCATTAACTCTGTGCAATCCAACTAAAGAAAAATCTGGTGTTTTCGCTAATCTTTTTTTTTTATTAATTTTGATATAGTTTTTTTTAAAAAATATTATTATTATGAGAAAAGGGATTTGATTTATAAAAATTTAAGTTCCAAATGTAATATTTCATACATTTTAAAAAAAAAAATGTTTTTAAAAGAATGCAGCGAGATGAGTTTATGTCTACCATTTTGTTCTTTTCTCGACACTAGAATCGAGCTAGCTGCTTTGATAAGTGATTATATGAATGATTGGGAAACACAGGAATATGAAATGGATGAAGACGTGGATGTTTCTATAACTCCACAAGACCCATTTCAAAAAATGAAAGTCTACTTAACCACACATTTCTAAATAATCTGAACAAATATATTGAGCAATTAATTAAAAGGATGCCAGTTACATTCTTACAATATTGAATGATATTTTTATTTTCCAATCGATTTTTGGCTTTATTTGTTTTTAATTTTTGGTTTACATAATCAGCTGATTTTAGTTTTCTTTGCAATTGTTTTGTGCCAGACTCTAATTAGTAAACAAAGAAAAATGTTAATTTATTCTGTTTAAAATATTTTATTAAGGGTTTATTTCATATACCCTTATATTTAAAATATTTTTTAAAATCTAATCAGTGTGGATATAAAATATTTTTTAAAATGTAATCAGTGTGGATAATTCCCAATTGATTTGGAAAAAAAAAACAAGAAGATGTTGACCAGACCACCTCAAGCAGTGCGCTTCATCGCATGTGACTACAAATCCACCACTCCTGGCTTCGTAACTGGCCTCTTAAAAAGATTTGACATCACCTCCCTCAAAGACAGACAAGAAAAGCTCCGCCTAACATTCCTATATAAAGTGGTCATGGGGCTAGTGCCGGCCATCCCAGCAAACATGTATCTCACCCCACAAAAGCCAAATGCTCACTAAACACTGAACACTGACTTCATCTCTAACAACCCCTTAAGTTATTAAATGCTTCACTATGCCTCAGTGTAGCACAGTCCGATATAAACAATCATTTTTCCAATGCACAATAACCGCTTGGAAGCACCTGGACAATGCTGCCGTGGAGTCAACACCAATCAAGAGCTTCAAAGTTGGCCTGGCATCCGCTAGGAGCCGTTAGGTTACCCCAACCGTTGCACATATGCCAGTATATGGATTCAGCAATGTACCATACCAGAACCAGAATCTCTACCCTAGCATAGACAAATTTTCCACACTTAACTGTATCCATTACCCCTAACTCTCTCCCCAACTGTCTTCAGGACCCCTATCCCAGACAACCCCCTAAAAAAATAATAATTATCTGGAGTTGAGGTCCAGAAGTAATATCATAAAGATGAACACTCCCAAAATGCTTGCTCCAAAGCCATGTTGGCACTTAAAAGTTAATAGATTCAGCCAAATTGAGGCTGAGTCAACCCAAGATCCATTGCAGTTCTGGTTTAAAATATATTTTAAAATGATAGTTAATTTTTTTTAAAACTTTTTTTTAAACTATTGTGAGAAAAAAGCATATATTGCCAGAAAATCCTATATCTGTTCCTAGAGATGAAACCTCTGGTTTTCAAGTCTATCACATTCTGTCACTGCTTTCTTTAACTTAAAAGGTAGGGTTTTTTTTTCATTTAACAATAACAATTGCCAAATGTGAGAGGAGTGAAGAGGGTTCACGATCAAAACCACAGAGGAAAACGGTTCAAAAGCAGACCTAGGCTTACATGGATGGATGTGGATAAAGATCTACAACAACTGGGAATCCAAGCATGGAAGAGAAAGGCATTAGTTACGTCTGAGTGGAAGGAAGTAGTGACGCAGGCCAAAGCTTTATACTGTAGCGCCACATGGATGGATGGATGGATCACGAGCATCTACAATTACATCAGGAGTGGGAAAACTATGTCTTGTGAGCCAATTGTGGCTCACGCCAACATTTTGAATGGCTCAAGCCCCCTTAAAAAAAAAAAATTAAATAATCATAAAAACAGAAGGAAAAAAAAATGAAATTTAATTTTTTGATTCGAGTTTTCACTACTCAGACTACTCTATGACTCTATGGGTTGTTTTGCTTTTTTGGTGAAATAATAAATTCCCCATGATTTGGGTAAATCCCCCCCCCCTTTTCACCATTTATGGCTCCTATGCTTCTTGAATCCAGCGCACAGCAGTAAAAGTTTGCCAGCCCCTCAATTACATTTTAAGCCTACATAGCATAAAAAATGAAATTTAATTTTTTGATTCGAGTTTTTACTTCTCAGACTACTCTATGTCTCTATGGGTTGTTTTGCTTTTTTGGTGAAATAATAAATTCCCCATGATTTGGGTAAATCCCCCCCCCCCTTTTCACCATTTATGGCTCCTATGCTTCTTGAATCCAGCGCACAGCAGTAAAAGTTTGCCAGCCCCTCAATTACATTTTAAGCCTACATAGCAAATAATTACATTAGAAATCAAAGCAATATATCTAAATAATAAATATATTCATTCAAATGCACATCAATGGCATGTGTCATATGGCTACAACTACAGCCTAAAATAACAATTGCAGTTGTAGCCCCTTGCCCTCATCATAGAATTTTTATAATTAGTCAGCAAACAAAATTAGAAGTAAACAATTACTTAGTTGACAATTGAATTACGTCACCAATTATTGACAGCTATTAGGTTGGTAGCCAGGCACTTTTTAATAAAAAGTATACAATTGTAACAATTTGACATTTGGGACCACAATACCTGACTGAAAACCTAACAAAGGGCCAACCACTTTGCAAAGACAATAATACATAAGGATAATAATGTGCAGCCATTCAACAAAGTTTACAACAAAATTAATTTAGCATATAATATATTTAAATCAATGGACAAATATGTCATGATGACTGGTAAGAAAAGTCTCAACAAACTTGATACTAAGTAACTGAATTTAAATAATAAGGCATATGGCTTAGACTTGCTAACTTAGGCCTACTAGTACTAGTACTAGTTATTAATTTAATATTAATTTATTAATCAATTTAATATTTGGCTCTTGGCCTTGACTTTTAACAATCAATTTTTTAAAAAAATTGTTAGTCCTAAAAATGTTTGATATTTTTAATCAGTCAAAAAACATTGGAAAAAGACTTTACAATACTAACGAAATAACATGAAAACTCTCTTTTTAAAAGACTTACTTATCCAGTTAGTATTGACACCACAGGGCCCATGGTGTCTTACAGGCATAATGCTGATTGTGACAGTAGCTGCTGACATTCACGCCTTGTTTTGTCTCAACACCAGAACTAGTGCTAACTAAGATTTGGATGCTTATAAATGAAGTGAATTTATTCACTTTAATTGCTCGAATATGCCTAGGAGCTTCACGCGCGAAATCATGCAGCTGTTTTCTTTCTTTTCTTTCTTTCTCTTCTAATACTTCTATTTCTACTCATGTGAAATCGCACAATTGAGGAGGAAAGGATATTCCTCCTGCTGGTTAAATTATACACTATTAAGTCAACATAGTGATTCAGTATGGTGGAAAAATCCTTTTTAAAAATGTGCGTTATGGTAAATTCGCTCAGTTCACACCATGCGACGAACGATTCTTTGTGAAATGTCAAGCCTTTGTGTTTCTTGCGCGATGGTCGCCATGTTAAACCCTCCTCTTGAGTGTAAATTTGATGTTTTGCCCATAACGCAGATACACGCTGTTCGAGAATAGAAATTCGGATAATTTATTGTTATAGCTACAATTTTTTCCAATTAAACAACAGCCCCTACGTATAAATTATAAAAATAATTGGATATATCGATTTTATCTCCACAAAATGTTTGGCACCAAGACAAATTGTGTATATTCTTATATTAATGCATTCTTGTATGGAGCATTATATTTCCTGAATTTGTGTGCTCCGAGCAGAACAGCTGAGAAATACCCGATGAAGGGCCTCTGCGCAGGCGCTAACCTTGCTCGATGTAAACAAAACAAAAACACACCAAAACACTCTTTAATTTCAATAATAATGCCTCTTGTAACATATGTTACGAACATTATCATGTTTAAGATTTGAAGAGATAGTAGTACTTGCCAAACCTAGCCTCCCAGCTAGCTTGATCTTTATATAACAGTGAATTTTTGCAAAATCAGCTCTCTGTTGACAGTATGTATTGTACGAACCTACGTCAGCTCACGAATGCTTATTGCCCTACTTATGCATGTTCGTTTTTTCACGTTATTGTACGGAATCTACCGATCTTGCAAGGGGCATAAATATTTTTAGAGTTAAATTCGGAACTTCTTTGTGCTTATTTTTGTCTTTGTTCGATTCCCGTTCTAGATCTACAACTACAAGTGTACAGAGTCAAGTAGAAATATAATATCATGTAAAATAATACATCGTGATTTAATTTTTAAAAAGGACAAATTGTTTTGTTTTTTTTAAGCCACAAAAATATCAAGAGGAATTTCGCTATAACTATAACTTATTTATAGTTATAATTTCAAAACTATAAGTATAAGTAAAGTAAAACTGATTAATCATTTTAAAAAATAATAATTTTACCTTACAATGTTTTATTATGTTTTCCGAAAATGCATTAAATGCATAAAATAATTTTAACAGATTTTATTCGCAACTATTAAATAATACATTTATCTTCATTGATTTGCGGAAATGTAATATATTGTGTAATAGTAATAGGGATGCTCATTATTTAAATAAAAATTAGATTGGAGATTGCAAGGCATTTCAAATTAATTATCTGAAATAATAATTAATAATAATAAATAGTGGCAGGGGTTAAGTTTGGGGGGGGGGGGGAAAAGGGTAGCAAATCACCCAATATACCCCCCCCCCCCCCCCCCCGCACACAAAACAGGAGGAAATAAACAGGGAAAACAACATAGATTAGCGGTGGGATGGGATACAAAAAATGCTATGAAAATATCAGCGCAAAAAAAGTAGTAGGATCTCAGATAACTAACAGTAGAGTAGTCTGGTTTGATAATGGATGCAGAGAGACTGTCAAAGAACGGAACAAGGCGCGAATCAACATGATACAAAAAGGAAACAAACGAGACGCGACAGATATACAAGGAAGCCAGAAGGAAAGCCACGAAAATATGTAGGAAGAAAAAAAAAGAAGAGGAATGAGAAAAACCTAAACTAAAAGAAATATAGGGCTTATCAAGATAGGGGAATATCAGAGGAATGTACATGATAAATTTCCCAACTTTGGAAGAAAGTACAGAAGTACCGGCTCTCACACACATTGACCACTGAGCTATCCCATGAACCAAGTCTTCTTATCAGACCAAAACAATCCGTGTAAACCACACGGCCATCTGAAATATCCACATAATATAAGCCACAGTCTTTATTTCCGTGTTTTCCAACAATTGGCCCCCACGCTCCTGTGAACTTTAAAAAAAAAAAAGAAAGATTTTTAGGCCACCCATTTCTCGCAGTGGTATGGTTAAAAAGAAGACTTTATGTCTTCCTAGGCCACGCATTTCTCGCAGTGGTATAGTTAAAAAGAAGACTTTATGTCTTCCTAGGCCATTTATTTGGAGTTCACCCATTTCTCGCAGTGGTAGAATTAAACAAAGGAAGTCTCTATGTTGACCAAAGAAAGTTTGAATTTCAACTTCACGGTCTATTTAATTTAGACCATGAGACTCAATTTTGTAGAATGTAAAACTTACAATAAGGGAAATATATTTGTATTTTAATAAATAAAAAAAAAAATTTGACAAAATTAAATTTTATAATATCGTAACATCACCCCGCCCCCCCCCTTTTTTTGCCCCCCCCCCCAAAAAAAAACTAGAAAAAATTCAAATAAACGAAAAAATTTCACTTAAAAAAACAAACAACATAAAAGCAGTTTTTGTCTCAGAGACTAAATGCCCCCTGGTCAGAGACTAAATGCGCCCTGGTCAGAGACTAAATGCCCCCTGGTCAGAGACTAAATGCCCCCTGGTCAGAGACTAAATGCCCCCTGGTCAGAGACTAAAT